CCATGGTATGCAAAACAGTTTAATGTTTCAATTTAAAAATTAAGATTTTTTTTTATGTTTTAACATAAATGTTGTAAGCACTGTAAAAAATTTTCTCAACAGTCACGCTAGTTGATAATTTGCTTACACTATTTATTTTTCTGCAATTAATCTTTGAAAAATTTCTGCATATTTTTAGAAGGGCTTCTGATATAAAACTTTTTTTTTCTGAAAATATACTTATATTTTAAAGCACTGATTGACTAAAAGAGAATTTGGATTATTCCAAAACGTGACAAACAAATATTTTGATAAAGTTTCTGCAACAATACTTTAATTGTGTTTAATTTGCATAAGCTAAACGGTATTGTTATCGCGAAAAAAAATTGTTTGCTTAATGACAAAAATTCCCTTTTTTTTGTGGCATATTGTTACGACGTTAAAACATTTTGAGTTCCTACATTTCATTTATTTTAAAGGACAAATAAAGCTCCTCTTAGTTCTGCAAAGAATGTAAAATCATAAATACATATTCAATCGATTTTTTTTTAAAACTCGGATGATTAAGAAAAAAGTTTTTTTAGAAATACTTTCCGCTAATGAGAAAAAACTTTGACAGAAAAATCGTCTCGATTACTGTATTGTTCCATTTTTGGAGCCGTGCCAGAAAAATGGATTTGGAGATGCTATTCTGTTTTCCTTTCTTTCTTTCTTTTTTTTATTCATTCTCTAAAACAGCATTTAATTATATAATATTTTGTACTAGTCATTTACCAAATCACTATAACGTTACTCTTTTTACACGACTTGCCATCATAAAAATAATAATAACTAATCATCATAACTAATAACAATAGATTATAGGCATAACTGTTAAAGAGCTTACATACTGAAATCTGCACTTTGGTTGAAGGTAGAAAAATGTAAAAAAAAAACACCAAATTAATATCAATGTTATTTTGCGCATAGTGGCACACAGAATTATAAATGTAACAGTTTATTCTACATTTTAAATTATTAAAATATACAACAAACTGATGTCTCGCAGTGGACTGATCGTTAAGACATGGATCCCAGGAGAACATCGATGTCAAGTATCACTGGCTGCGGTCAGTGCGCGGGTGAGTGACCACTTGGATCAGTCTGCGAAGAGACCAAGGGTGTGCGGTATTGGCTCTTGTAAAGCTGTATTACAGTAAAGTGATCGACTTCGCGCGCAGGTCGTTGAGCTACCGAAGCGGGGGGTGCCATCCCGTCTACAGGGGATCAAAATTGTGATGGCATGTCTTCGGATTATCCTCTGGGAAGTTTTCCACCAAACAGCTCCCGTCAAAAAGTCTGGGGCGCTGTCTGCTGCTACGGTAACGACTAACGAGTGAGATAACATTTCTAATAGGGGTGTAATGGAGGAATGATTGGTCTACCAGATAGGCTGGTTTATCCGCTTTCAAGAGACCTATTCAAAGTTTTGAATTAATATTTAGACAATTCCATTGCTTTTTCTTAGGGAGAAAAAATAATATAGGCTTAAACTAAATCGTATTTTCATTTATACTTTTATTCGATATGCGTTAATTTATTTGGAATTCAGCTGCTATTTATTTATTGTAAATAATTTTTTTTAATGGTGGTTAAAAACATTTTTTTAATCAACCTCTTTTGCCTCATAAAAAAACTTTTGAGATTATTTCTCTGTTTCGATCAATATTTTTTTCGCTGAAGAAGAAAGATATTTATCTTTCTTTAATCGCTATTTTCAAGAGAGGCATTTGATTTAGGTTTCCTATACGTAGTTTTTCTTTTTTCATGCGATTAATTTATTAATTGTTAAGAAAACATACATTAAATGTTACATAAAAATGGAATAAGCATTTCATAAACTGAATGCATCATGTCAGTTTATTCCTGTTTAAGACTTGACATATTTGTGAAAATATGACTCTACGGAAATGATATTTAAAATCTATTAAATTTTATTACTATACCAAAGATAAATAAAGAACTAAAATTTTATGAATGATTTAACTTGTTACTAAATTAACATTACTATACAATTATTAGTTTGCCGTTTGTTTTAACAAAAAGCAATTTTCAATTTCAAATTTGTATTTAACATTTTTCATTATAATTTTTGTTTGCATAAAAAAGTGTCTTATTTTCATGAAGCTTTTGAATACCGTTTATTAAATGATCGGATAAAGCATTTACACTTCATATAGAAAGTTCATTAACATTATTTCTTACATTTTATTTTTTTTTTATGTATGAAATTTTAAGGACTATAAGGCTTTAAAAAATACCTAACTAGGAAAAAGAAATCAAAATTTAAAATAAATTTAAGAATTAATTAAATTAATCAATTTAAAAGTTAAAAACTCTTTCAAATGATATCTACTAGAATAATGTATTATGCAATTCGAAGAGCAACTTTTTGCTACGAAGATTTTGTTCTTATTTTAAATTTTATAATACTTGGTGGTTCTTACTTTAACTTTTGTAATATCGTTCATTTAAAAAGAAAAAACAAATTTTAAAAAAAAATAAACTTCTTAGTTGTAAGGTATTGGTCTTTTTAAAAAATATTTAATTTTGTTAAGAAACTAAGAATTTTGAAGAGTTTTTTCTGATCATAAATTTAATGAAAAGAAAAGTAACATTACCGCTGAAGATATGAACATATTTAAAATATTAGGTTTTGTATTCATGCAGCGCAAAGTAGGAATACCAATGTTAAGAAACTTCAATTCAAATTGCTGAGCGGTGTCTTTGATATTTAACAAGAAAAGCTACCATGGTCAATGAGTGAGAAATGGTCAGTTGCGATTCCCACGCTGTTGTTGTAGTGCCCGTTTTCTCTCCTATTGTGTCCAAATCAGCTGATTTCTGGAAAGTTGTCAGAAAAAGTGAGTGACCTTGACTAGAAATATGCACTTCTAAGTATAAAAATTCTCTTGCTTTGGTTTTTTTTTTTATTTTCTCTATAGGGTAAAAAAAATTACTAAAGAATTTTTGGAAAAGAGCACAGCTTTAAATTTAGTATTCTCTTAACTTCGAATAAAAGAAACCCCATATATTTATTTAAAAATTCGTTCGTAATTTGTTATAAAATAAAATTTTCATATTTCAAAATAAATATTGTATTTCAATGTTTTTAAAATGTTATTTAATTACGCTCAGATATTTAATGTTATTGATTTCAGGCTAGATTGCTCGAAATATATTGCAATGACAAAACTGGCGAGCGACTGGCGAAGACATGCAGCTAAAGAACACCAAAAGTTTTGACTTAGTACTATTTTTATTATAAAATTAATGCTTTTAACCGTAAAATTTGTTCTAAATAGAACATTTTAGGTGGAATAAAATTGTCTGATGTTTAGATAAAATAATTTTTTCTAATAAAATTTTAGACCATTACAATTTAAATATTCTCTGAATTTAGGAAGCAATTTTTTGTAAATTATAAATATCTTATCACGAAAAAATTTATACTTACCTTACATAGATAGACATTTGAAACATAGATTTAAAATTCCCTTTCCAATATTTTTTTCTCATACAATATAACATAATCTCCATTTGATCGAGCTAATTTTACTATGTTTCGTTAGTTTTCATGCATTTTTTTACACCACATTTCCTAAAGTAATTGTTGTTTTTTTTTAATTTCTTAAAATAAGCTGATTTTAGATATTTATCAAATTGTGATAATGGGAACTATTTCTTTATCTTCAACTTATTTTAGCACTAGTTCCGTTTTCTGAATTCGTCCATTCAGTCATTCGTGAACTATGTGTTTTGGCAGTTCAATGCCTGGAATAAATCAAATTGTCACAGGGAAAAAGAAATCGTTCCCATAATACCTATAATGATTGTTAGCTAAAACTCTTATTTTTCTTTAATAACAACCCAGAAAGTTAAAAAAAAAAGGAATACTACATTATAGAAAATATACAAAAAAGTATTACTTTTTTTTCCTATATCTGTGCTTCAAGGAAACAGGCGTGCTAAAATATTGCTAAATATTAAAATATTATACTCAAAATGTTTTTAAAGAGATAAAATGACGCATTTGAAGGACAATGGTTAGATGTAAAAATAAATATTAAAAATGGCAAACTAAAATTACAAACGTAAATAACACCATTTCAAAAAAGAAAACTTTCATATTTCAAAATAAACATTGTACTTTGCACATTGCACGAAATTCAATAACATTATAAAAAAATATTCAAGAAGATGAATGTATGGCAAAGATATGATTACGAGAACAAATTATAAACAAAAAATCTTAACAAATAATTAAGAATTTTAAACCCCTATGAAGAAAAACAATTGCTGCCAATCAAGTTAAAATAGGTAATATTACAGGATTGATACATTTCTAATATTTCATAATTATTTTAAAAGTAATTCATTTATATAAGAATTGATTTCTTTCTGATGCATAATATTTTTTGAAATATTAGTAAAACACTAAATTTTAATAATAAATAAAAACATATAAGGTCTTAAAGCTATACATTAACATTATATGTTATATACATACATTTACATAACAATATATTTACATTTATACAAAGCTAAGTAAAATAACAAGGAAAAGCATGTTCTCAAATGTTACCTACTGCGAAACTACGATGAAATAAAATCATGATACTAATAAATCGATTTTTCAAATATTCAGAGAGGGAAATTTAGCCGGAGAGTTAAGTCTTACTAATTTAAGAGCTCGTACATTGGAAAAAAGATGTTAATAAATTGATTAGGAACTTAAGACGATACTAACTATTAGCTTAAAACATTTCTTTTTAAAACTTTTTTTGAAAAAAAAAGGATAATGTTTAAAATATAAAAATAAGTAGAATTGAAATAGCCACAAAACATTAAATACATAAATAAATGTAATTATTTTTTAAAAGAGAATTAAAAAGTAAATTTTTTTTTTGTTTAAAAAAATAAATGAAGGAAAAACTTTCCAATTTGGTAAATACTAAAAAATTATAAATACTTGAAAAAAATTTAAAAATTACAGCTTCATTCACTGAAAAATTTGCGAGGTAAAAAAACATTAATAATAAAAAAATTTGAAAGTTTTGCGTTTCTCTATAATTACCATTCTTCATCACAAGAATCAGTTTCCTCATCGCAAGATTCTGCTCCTTCAGAATCAGAATTATCTGCTGTGCTAATTATTATGCTGTCTGCCATTAACCCATCTTTTTCCCAATATATGTTTTCGAGGTTTTCGACATGTTGACAATGAGAGCACCATTCGTCAGCTGTCACCCTATTTACAGCATCGTAAAGAAGAGCAGTTAAATTAGCAAGGCTTAAATCTCCTGTTGTATTTCTCACAAATATTTTAACAGTTGCCCAAGCATATTCTATGGCATTTAAATTGCAATGATATGGAGGAAGGTGTCCCTGATCTTTAATCAGCTTATCAATTGAACAAACCACTTCTTTTGGGCGATTGTTTTCGATAAGGGAAAAAAGTTCAGCCTTCCTCATACCCACATCTCAGTCAATACTGTTTAGTGTCAGCCAATCCACCATAACTGCTTTCGTTGCATATTTTGTGGGTGTTGGATTCTCCACCTTAGCGTGGTAAGGGGCATTGTCCATGACAACTACACTCTCAGGTTGAAGATTTCGGCGTAATTTTTCTAACACCCAGTTTTTGAAATTATCAAAATTCATTTGCCCATGGTAGTCTCCAGTTTGGCTTGAAGCTTTGTAAATTAGCTCCGCACCTGGAGCGAACATTTCGGATGTTCCAGCGTGGACAAAAAATAGTCTGTTCTCAGGGCTATCTGGAAGTAGGATCAGAAAAAGGGGGAGGAGATTGTATCCTTCACCACGCCTTCTCTAAAGCTGCTCAACTCTGATTGGCCGATGACCATTAGCTGTGGAGTTCTTCTTCCAAGACCGAAATCTTTAGGAAGTCCTTTTATGAGAAATTTGAGTGTTCCACTGTTCTTGTGTAGATTCTCCGTCTGATTCTGTTCTGCGGTCTCAACTGCTGGTGGGGTTGCAGGTGTGGCTACAAGTTCTGTGATGTTGCTAGTAGAAGGAATGTCCATACTTTCTGTAGTTTGAGAAGGAGGATTTTTCTTCTTCCTTTTTCTCTTATTTTTTGGAGGTTCGGTGTCGTCCTCTTTCTGTGGTTCCTTCTCCTGTTCTGGAGTCTTCTTGATAGTATCAGTAGTTTCCAGTTGTTCTTTGGAATTCTCTGCACTAACATCAGGTGTAGGTGAAGGATCAGGCCGCTCTGGCACTGTATCTATTTGAACTGGAGTCATTTCAGGTTCTGAAGACTCGATGGTTAAATCAGTCACTGCAGCAGGCTCTTCCTCTATCATCTGGATGACTGGTGTCGGGGAATGCTTTGGAAGTCTCTAATATTCTTCATAATCTGCAATTTCTCGGCTAAGAATTTCGCTCTGTACAGGTTTTCGAGGTAGTTAGTCGAAGAAGACTTTCGTCGGCGACATTCTGCAATCTCGTCATCGATGTTGATAGCAATTCTTTGGGCGCGCTTGAACTCTGTATCAAAGGACGAAGGTTTCTTATCCAGAAAACTTTGGGCGAATCTCCTTGTTTCATCCTTAATCGCTGTGAGATTCAAATCTGGTTCCCGGTGAGTATGGAAGGTCTCCCTCCGCGGCCGAATCGGTACGTTGACATGGTAGCTCCGAGCTCAGTCGCAACACAACCTCACTCGGTGGAATCCAATGCTCGGATGAAATGGCCCTAATGCAATTAATGCATTTACTCTTTTCTTTGCATTCACTCTTTTTGTGCCCAATCGATCCGCAGTTGGTGCAGGTTTCGTCGTGGTGACAGTACTTTGCAATGTGGCCGAGCCCTTTGGATTGTTGGGTTTCCTCCTTAAAGGAAACAAATACTTATCGAGAAAAAATTATTCAACCATCGATCACAAAAATTATTTCCTTCCCATTAGAGTTTATATTCTGCTACAAAAGTAAATTTTCATTTTTAAAACATTTTTTTTTTTAATATTGACTCTTAATTTTGTAGTTTTCGATCTAAAACATTATATCAAAAAAGGTCCATTCCTTCATTAGTTCATATTAATCAACCTACACTAAAGGAAAAGTAATAATGCAATGACGGATTGATAAAATGAATGTAATGCGGAACAAAAATTAAGAAAATAATAAAATCTGTAAGCCAAGAAAATATTTACAAATACAACATTTCAAAACTAGGGCTTAAGGAATATTTTTTTCATTATTAAAGGTAAATCAAAATATTAGAATTTATGATAGTTTTAAAGTTTTCAATATCATTAAAAAGAATGGAAAAAATACAAATATAATAAACAGTAAAATTCGTTTATAAGTCACCAAAAGTTCTTAACTTCCGTTCTTGGGAAACATGCAATTTTGTTAATACCCGTTACTCCTTAATTATTTTGAATGGAGTTAAAGGGGACGACTTTCCCCCCTTCCTGTCTCTTAATTATGGGCGAGTTCAAGTTAAAAAAACAAAAACAAAAAAAAACGCCATTCTTAAAAGTCTCTTTATGAAAAGCCACACATTCTACTATACTGTAGGAATTATAGGGTTACCATGAATCGTCTCGTCATTGTCAGAATCGTCAAGCAAAATGAGACCACGCATGGCCATTCGTAGACAAACCATTCTATAACATATACTTATTGCTACAAGAGATGACATCCAGGAGTACGATAAAGGCGTGACGTCAATCGAGTTAAATCTTGTCCTCACATGTTATTTCTTATATACTAACTCTAAAATTTATTTTAAGTTCATGTCCTTTTGTCTCGGTAAGACGTATATTCCGAGTAGAAAGTGTTAAAACATGGAATGTTTCACACCAAAAGAATCCAATTTCTTGAAAATTGCTTATTTGAAAAAAACACCGAATGATAAACATTTAGATGAGTATTTCCTTTTTGATATTTACAACGAAGCTATATATTTGGACTACCCCGATAAACTGAAAGAACTTCTTGAACTTGCCAATGGAATGAAATTGGACTTTCTACAATTATTCAAAAATAAGCCGCGCATGAATGCTGATCTATCTCACATTTCTTTGATATGCAATCCCAAAAATTACATACTGATTACTGATTTTGGTGGAATGAATGAATATAACAGTGACTTGTGTGGATTATATTTACTTTGGGCGGCAGACCGACTGTTAAAGTAAGTTTTCTTTAGCATTATGAATTAGTAAGTTATTTTTATTGCAAATTCGTGCTTTTATTTATTTTAAACTCTTGATAACTCTTGATTTAATGATTAGTTCCATAGATTATTCTTTGAATATATATATAT